TGAATTCATCTATATTTGTAATGAATGTGTGAATACATTTAAAATTAACTTAATTCGGTTACATGTTATGTTTAAGTATTTTAAATTATATTATATCGTCTCTACATTCATATTTTTTTATGTGGGGAGAATGTTGTAGATTCAAGAAGGTTATTAGTCAGAGAAAAATACTGGCAGCTATTGTCTATGGTTATACATAATATATAACTTTTGGTTAACGATGTTATCCAAGGTGACGACTTTGAGCTGTTGGAGTCTGACCCAACCAAAAAGTTTACTTCGGATATTAAAGTATGTATACAAAAGTCGTCATATGTTTTTCCCGATCACAACTTGTCTCGGAGCAATCTTGTTCCAATGAATCCTCAAGCACCCACTTTATATGGGTTACCTAAAATACATAAAGAACATGTTCCTATTCGTCCAGTTGTCTCATATATAGGATCACCAGCTTACTTCCTTGCTAAAAAATTAAACTTCCTCCTTCGGGAGAAATCTGGTTTCAACCCAATTTACAGCCTTAAAAATAGTTTAGTTCTCATTTCCAAAATTAAAGATATTCGTATTCCACCTAAATCTATGTTGTTATCTTTAGACGTTGATAGTCTTTTCACAAATGTCCCATCCCCTGACTGTTTGCATATACTCTCAGATCTCTTTGAAAAACGTCGTCTACATCCCAGGGAAACAAATGATCTTCTTAACTTAACCTCTCCCTGTATGTAACAAAATTATTTCCGGTTTAATAACCGTTTCTATCTACAAAAAAAAGGGTTGGCTATGGGGTCCCCTCTAAGTCCACTTATGGCGGACATTTTCATGGATAATTTCGAAAAACAACATATAGTTGTTAACCAAAATATCTTATACTATTATCGATATGTAGACGACATAATTATTTGCTGGACTGGCACAAGGAGACAACTGGATGTTTTCCTTAATAAAATGAAGAGAGTCCACGAAAAAATTAAATTTAAGCTTGAATTGGAACAGGATTGCTCTCTTAATTTCCTTGATTTAACAATAACAAGAAAAGAGTCGTTGCATGTTTTTCAAATTTATCGAAAGCCAACTCATACCGACACGGTCATCCCCGCGTCATCGTGTCATCCATGGCAACATAAATTAGCCGCTTTTTATTGTTACATTAACCGTCTGTTCACTGTTCCATTAAGTAAAGAAAATTATTTAAAAGAACTTAATATAATTTATCAAATTGCAGTCTCCGGTTTTTCAAAAAGTCTCATTAATAATTAAGCATGTTGTTCGCAATTCTTTGTACGCGGTTCGATCTCAAAGTGTCTCTTAAGAAAAACGGCGTTTACGTGGCATTCAAAACAAACAATTTGCTTAGGAATATTTGTAATAATAAAGATAAGTTAAATATTAGTCAAAAATCGGGTGTTTATAAACTTGTTTGTGACGAATGCCACGCCGTTTACGTGGGTCAGACTGGTCGCAATTTCGGGACGCGCTATAAAGAGCATTTGGCCGCGTATAGAAATTGCAATCCTGATAAATCCCATTTTGCTAAACATCTCTTGGACACTGGACACAACCTAGCTAGCGACCATTCCTTTGAAGTCTTACATACTTGTAATAAGGGGCTGCGACTGTGTGTGCTGGAGCAGTTGGAGATTTTAAAAAGTAATAATGGTAATTATGCACTGCTGAATGAACAAATAAATGTTTCTAATTCAACTTTGTTAAACATCTTTAAGGCTAATCTTTAATAATAATTTGAAGATTAATAATAATAAATAACTAAGTATAATAATATCAATAAAACAATAATAATAATAGTATTTAAAAATATTAATCATAACAATAATGATAATTAGTATCAGGTTTGTTTTCGCACGGCGCGGTCACTCGCTACTTTGGTGGAGAGCGATTGTGTCAGCGTGTATAAATAGCAGCTGTATCGGCTCGCCGCTCGTGTCCGCAGGCCGAGAATGTGTCCGCAGGCCGAGAAACTCTCTCTCGGACCCGCCTAATAAACTGTCAAACGACCTGAACTGTCTCCTGGCGGCTCAGGCCAACTCAAATTAAATTATTGTAATAACTAACATTAATTTGCCTTCGTAGGCACTCCCTCAGCGGCACTTAGCCGCCTGCGCCCTCTTTTCCCAAAAAAGGGTCGCTCATGATAAGGCACAATACAGCTTGATCAGCCGGCTGCCTGTCCCCAAAGGCGGTTTTTAGAGGGTATCACTTAGGGTCCCCGGTAGGACAGTGAGCCCCTCATAACCACGATAGACCGGCTATCGTGGTATGCGTAATGCATTTTCCGCCTCCCTACGTATAGGGTAGCCCTTTAATTGCTTCGGGCGCAAAAAAAAAACTCGCCGCTCACTTAGCTGTCAGCTGCCATAGTGTCTACATTACCTGAAGATGCCTCGTGTAGAGGCGAAATACGTGTCGTCGTCTTACCTGGAATAGTGGTGCTGGGACTAGTGGTGACGGAGTTAGTGCATGCAATTGAGGGAGGGCGAGAGGTGCTCTTTGTATTTATCACATCATTATATTTATTTAGCGAAAGGTCGCGAAAAAAACTTTTTTATATTAATTGTTTTTAAACTATTGCATACCATTTTTTCGTCTAATATGGTTTGTATTTTACAATTATTATTAATGTTGGATACATTACAAGTTATTTTTACGCTAATTCCAACCATATAGTGATACCATACGGCATTAGCAATTGCGCGCACGCGTCTAGCAGCCGTCCGCGGCTCGCCCGCACGTACACATGGTCAATGGTCGAGGACTTGGCCATCCACGATCGCTTCGCGCGTTATCTCTGACGTAGGTATTGCACTTTGTAGGCCGTTTTCACACAACAAGTTTTGTAGGCACATAAACTCTTATTTGCACCTTGCAAATACTAGTTTATTACAAGGTGTTCTATTATATATTATATTTCAAAAACAAACCGCAGATTCCATAAAATCTATCGTATCGAAAATGGTCACTGATGATGACGACGACAGTATTACTTTGGCAGAACACCAGGTTGAACACTGCTTTTCAACTTCTACTTTCAAAAGTTTCAAAGAGAAGCTTTTGCATGCATTGAAACCAACAAAGAGCTGTACTGAACCATCTGTACTGAAATGGTATTACACGAGAATGGCGGTGGGTGCGGCAGTTTTTTAACAAAGGCATACAAAGATTTCATCACGATCAAACCCAAAGTGTCGAATTAGAAGGTGCATTTTCGACAGCTCGTTATTAATGCAGCAAAATACGGTCTCGTCTTAATAATTCTACTCTTGATGCTTTACTTTTCTAGATCCCATTTTCTTACTAAAACATTCAAGGGTCCGCATACAAATGTCATGTATACATGCTAGATCAGATTCAAACTTTGCAGATATATTGAGAAGAAAAATGGATTTCTGTAATTGGTTTTCAATTTTTAAAGTACTAAAATTAATTGGAGCAAAATAAGAGCGAGTTGAAACTTTTCATACTAATCTAATTACAGCATTTTATTTTATTTTGTTTAAGTTTATACAGATACAGGTAATGTCAAAAGAATTCTTAGTGAAATGCTTACGTTTGGAAAGGTGGTGATTAATTTGTTTTCAAATATATATTGTAAAATACTTAAGGGGTCAGTATCATCAGGTAATGAAAGCAACTTTAACGCTTTAATTACATTAAATTGTCATTGAAGTCTAAATCCTTATTATCCTGATCTGTCAGTCTTTCTTCAAGAACAGAACAATGATTTAAAATATCACTGTCAGTTAATTTGAATATGTCGCTAAAAAATCCGAAAATATTATCATACCCATTTAATTGTTCCCTAATATTTTTTTATATCTAAATTTATTTTATTCAAAATTTTCTGTCATAAATGTATATATCGATTAAACGCAATAAAACTTTCCTTAACTTCAACCTTTTTTGAAGTTGTGTTAAGGACAACATGCCTCAGAACAAGACTAATTTGCTCAGTATGACTGTGTACGCAACTATTAAATTTCAAGGTACTAATAAAAAGATTAATTCATAATTTATTCGTTTTTTTATCATGTAAGAAGTTATTAATATTAATTAGATTATAATTCTAATATAATTTCTATATTTTCATTAACAATTCTGCAATTACTGGGCAAGTAAGTGTTGTTAAATAAACTAATACTGAATAAAAATTGGATGGGTTAAGAAAAAAGTGATAAAATATAATATAATAGTTAGTAAAAATTGACAAATATTTATAATCATTGATTTATGGATATTTCATCAACTATATATGGTGCGTTTTCGACCGGAGGCACCGGTTGACCTGAAGTGATGCTGTGACCGCGCGCTCTCCGCCCTCTATCTCGAAAACGGTTCACCGTATAAAAAAATTTTTGAACAAAATTTGTCGAGAATTTTGTATTCTACAATATTGATAATAAATACAAATAGCAAAAAAACCCATAGGAAATGAGATATTTACAAAAAAAGCGCAAAAAACGATTTTTGTGACCTTTGACCTTGAAATTTAATAGTTGCGTAGACCCTACCATATGTAGATATTGAGACAACTTTTAGGGTGTCAATATACAAGTATTTACAGACTTACAGCTGGGTATCTCGAATTCCGAGGTCAACTTACTATAATGACTGGAATATTATGGATTTTGAAGAGATGGAAACAAGAAAAATAAGACTTGGTTCTGGCCTTTACACTGCAAAATTCAATATATTCAAATTTAAAAAAAGACAAGGCTGTATGGCTTAGTTCTTTTGCCTGCTCTCTCGAGCGAGTAATAAAAACAACAACAACAATCGGAAAAGTCAAATTGTGTCAAATCTTATTCATAAAGTCATAAAATTTAAAAAAATGTTTTAGCAGAATTTATAATATAACATTTTAAAGCTAAGAGCACAAGAAAAGAAGACAAAGTTCTTAATATATATAAGGGTTAAACGGCCATTAAATAAACTTTGTTAACATCATAATATTAATTTTTAAGTACGAAATATTAACTATTTAAAATATGGAACATATACGGCAGTTCGATTGGTAAGTAAATAGTTTCTCTTTTTTTTTTTTTTTTTTGTTTTGTTACATATCTAATAAAAGAAGAAACTGTAATTTTAATAACTATAATTTGATAGTACTATCATATTTATTGATCTGTAAACAGACAGCATTTCTCATAATTGCTATGATTTATCAACCAATTAGTACTAAAATATGTTTCATTCCATACATATTGTCATTGTGTCAATCTGAGTAATCACATAATGAAGATGTTTCCATCATCATCAAAGCCAAAACTACCTTCTGAATTTTTCATTTAGTCAACTTTTAAAACACTCATGGTCTATAAAGCAGTAATGGATTCTCTTATGAAACTACCATCCAGAGTTAATGAAAAAAATTGTATTATTGACCTCACTCATGAAATTTCAGTTAGGTATCTCAAGGAATGCTTAAAGTTACTCTCCCTCTCTTCACTAATAATAGAAAGAGAAAGAGATAGGTATAGTGATAAATAATACTTAAGTAAGCAACAAAATTTTATAAGTAAGGTCACATATGTTTTATTTAATTTCTGTTCCATATTTAAATATTATTTATACAACCTGTCTTAGGTGTTATTCAGAGCCTGATTATTACTTTGTGAAAGAGGAAGACTTAGACAATTGTGTGACTGAGAAAATCCTTAGAAACCAGTTTCACAATCCTCTGGCTATGGCTTCAAGTGATTCGGAGGATGAAAAGCCTACTTTTGATTGGGATAAAATATTTTCACGGAATGAAACTGTAAGTATGTTTTTGATATACTGTCGGAAGTTATATCAACAGATTAATACTGTTCTATTAAAGTATGAACAAACAGAGTTGGCAACTCAATTGCTCAGTCGTTAGTCTTTTTTATTACATAAAATAGTGGGTGAGTATATGCATAGATTGTTTAAGAAATGGTGCAAATAAGAGGTCAGAGAATAAGTTTCTTCATATATTATATACAAATTCAAGACATTTTTTTGAAAGTTTAATAATTTAATTATAATAAAACTTATATGCCATTTGACATCATATTTCCCAGACTGAAAAAAAATGTTTGAACCAACTTTGTGCTACTCTTACTGACACTGCATTAGGTCCATAAATGTCACAAATTTTTGTCGCGGCTTGAGTCGCATTTTCCCTTTTTTGTAATAAAACTTCAGAATGTATTGAATTTCTGCATTACATTCACTCATTTCGGCAGACAGAATAACAATTGAAAATTGTATTTTTTACTTTTTTTTTTTAATCTCATATGTATTGATATTAAAACCAGCCAGATATGATAAGTACAACCAAAGAGATTTTTCTTCAATTTTATACAAGCAAAATACAAATAATTGATAGAATCAGGCGAATCCATAATATATATAATAAAAATTAAATTTCTTTGCACTTTCCGCTAATATAAAATGATGTCTGGGGGGGGCGCTTCAATCTATTTTTTGTTGGAAAGTTGCAAAGAAATTTATATTTTTATTTTTTAAAATACAAATAAACTTTTTCCCTGACCTATTAGATTATATACCTGCTCTAGAGGGAGACAGACAATGTTTCCCTGCTCAAAGATTACTACCATTGCTTGACGCATTCTTAACCAATCTAGTTGCATTTTTTAAAATGTTGTGTAATTAAGTAATGATTTAAGTCACATATGGCGTACTATTAGAAATGTTATAAATTGTAGAAGTTATTACAATTTTTTTTTATTTTATTGTACTGTTAAATTAACTTTTGAGAATGTTTTCCCATTTAGGGACTTTGATACCTCAGAGTATTTTTTTATATCAAAATTAGTTTTCATTCAAAAAAGTTGTTCAGGCTCCAAGTTGACAATAAGGATACTATATCTTATTTAATACTATATTTGATACTTACATTTAATTCTATGTATATATTTTAAAAATAAACATAGAGTTAATTGTAAGTATTTAGGGTTTACCCAACTGTCCACCATTTCCATTTTGCTACTCCTCTACCAAATATTATTTATAAACACCTAAACAATACTGGAAAGATGTTTTTTGATACAAATATAGGTTTACTGATGGCATATTTTTATGTGGTAGAGCCACACTGCAGCTATATTATGGTTGTAACATAAATGAGTTGGCTCGTCCACACTCTCACAAAATACCAGCGTAAAATAGCAGCTTATAGTTGCTGTGCTTCATATGGTGAGTGTAGAGAACCCTAAAGACCCTTTTTATTGGAAATAAGGCATGCCATCTTAGTCCTCCGGGGTGACAAGGCATCTGCATTTTGATTCTTTGAAGATAAATGTAGATGTCTATGGGCCACAGCATCCATTTACCATCAGGTGGACTGTGTACTTGATTGCCACCCTTATTCTATTTAAAAAAAAACCTTAGCACAGATAACTTGAAGGCTTATCCCATACTCTCCATACTGGACATGAATATAATCACAGAGCCAATACCCTCTTACTGATAATGCTGTCTCAGCACTAACTTTGTTAATTTGAGTCATCATAATCATCATCATCATCTTAACCGGCTAACAAAGTACACTGCTGAATAAAGGCTCCCCCATAGATTGTCACAAATATCCCTCTATTCACCATAGTTGGTATAAGGAACATGCTGCTGCCCATTTTGTTTCATTTCCCCCTATCGCAAAATGGGTTATCCGATTCCCATACACTACCACTACTCAGCTGATTTGAGTCTAAATTTTCAAATTGACATAACACCATTTGTGGATAACCAGGGAATTGTTTGATAATTACGTCCCATGCTGTAAAAAAGCAATCAAGGCCATTATATTTAAATTTTATCAAGAACATGCTTTTATAGGGGTCTTTTCGTGACAACTTTTTGTATTCTATTACTTAAAGATGAACTGATTGATTTAAGAGCACTCCTTACGCCGTAATGTTGAAGTTTCCTGGTTAATGTTTCATGGTGAACACAATTGAAGGCTTTGGATATGTGTTTTATAAGGCTTTGGAAATGGTCACAGAATTTAATCAAAGCATCTTGGTTGAAAATATATTTAATAGCTCAACACCAGCTCGTTTGACTTGAAATGTGTTTATGAATTAATTATTTAATAATGTTTTTATATTAAAATAAAACTAGTTTTTACGGATTTTGTCGCAATAGGGAATATTAAAAAAAAACTTAATATATGTGATAAAATCCGTAAAAACAAGTTCTATTTGAGTTATTTACATTAAAAAAATTAATATTTGATCATGAATAATTTTAAAAAAAAATTACGGTGTTGACAGTTCAGACTCCTTACCTCCATACTAGGATTTTCTCCGTATTTTCATTATTTATTATTATTATATTAATGTGGCGTTGTTTAGATGTTTATTATCAGCGGCCATTTATTTTATCAATTTATCCATTTCACCAAAAAAATTATACTAACAGTTTTTCGGTTTATATATAGCTAAGAACACTCCTGGCATTCTTCTCTGTTTGTGAAGTTTCATCAAAATTGGTTTAGTTATTCTGTCAGCTAACCCAGACAGGTAGACGAAAAATTTATTTTTTCGTCTACCTGTCTGGGCTAGCTGACAGAACTTAATATATATATATAATAACAGCTTAATCATATCTTAGTGGCATATAAATAACGCTCTGAGCTCGATAAAAGGCGCTCAATATTACAGACAGACGCTTCAATTGTATTTATATGTGTAGATTAGTTTAGTTTAGTTTACGACGAGCTGTTTTCCGCGCGCGTATTTTGCGTGTGGGCAGGAATAATGTGGTTAGTCGAGCCATGATATTTCCCCGAAGAAGTTCAATAGTCCTTTGACGTTGCAAGCAACTTCGGGGAGCGATCCCGGCGTGCCGAGATGTTTAGCCCTGTATGAAGCGACCTAGGACATGTCAGCAACACGTGAGCCGCCGTTTCTTCCTCTCCCATGCCCTGCACAGGGGGCTGTCAGTAACACCTATGGTGAACAAATGTCTGTTAAAAGAGCCATGTCCTATGATAGCACTTGTTACTATCCTGATCTGTGGCTTGTTCAGTCTCATTAGAACCTTGGTTAGACGACTGTTAATTTCAGGCAGGGCTTCCCTAGCTCGTCTACAGTCTACTAAATTTTTCCAAAGCTGAGCGTGTAAATTGATTGAAGTATCTACGTACCAGTGTAGATTAAACTTGGGAATAAATCAAATTTGATGTTTTCAGGGTAACAAGCAACATCGTATCTTCGTGCCGGGATTTCGTGGATTACCCCCATTCCCAAAATTGTCTGCGCTTACACATCAGCAACATTACCAATGTCTTAAGGTTCTTTGTGCTCAAAACCCTCACATTTTGGTCCAAGAATTTGTACCCAGGCCTACCAAGCAAGATTATAGAGTATTTGAAGTAAGTAACCGTAAATTTCTCATTATGTCACCTACACACGCCTTCTATAAAGTCACGGCGCTTAGTAATGAGAATAAAATAAATTTTCTAAATCAGCAGTTCATTAAAGTGAAACTTCTATAGTGCAGTATGGCTAATTAGCCTAACGGATGAAATATTATAATAATCATTTCTACTCTCTCTCTCTCTGTTGTAAATATAGTCAGTACAATGTTAATATAGAACCAGTGGACCTTTGAATATTATACTTTACATTAGCATAACACGTTTTTATATGTGTTATTACGTGGCAGAGCCATGCTGCAGTTATATTAGTACTATAGTTGTAGCACAAATGGGTCGGCTCGGCCGGGGTAGGACCACGCTCTCACAGAATACCATCATAAAATGGCAACTTAATTCTTCTGTGTTTTATATGGTGAGTGTTGAAAACCGGAGACTTTACTGGAAACAAGGCATTCCATCTCGGTCCTCAGGGGTGACAACGCATCTGCATTTTGATTTTTAATTGAGGATAAATGTAGATGTCTATGGGCCACAGCATCCACTTACCATCAGGTGGACTGTGTGCTATTTTGTCACCCTTTAATGTCAAAATATGTCAATTTGTGGCGGTTGGGGTTTAAAATAAGGCGACAACCAGTCATAAAAAAAAATTGTATATTAGTAAAAGAAAAGGTCGTGGGCGTGGTTCCGATAATTTTAAAAAAAAAGTGCCCGTCTGGCTTCACTGGCCGGGTCAGGTACTCCCCTATGTGGCCGCGAGGTGGTCGAGCAGGGCCGGGGGTTGGACTGTTCACGGGGAGCGCCGTGGCAGCTGGCTGTGGCGGTGGCGGCGTCGAGGGGAGGCCTAGGCCCTCTTAAAAAAAGGGCGACCGCCACGGTTGTAGTCGTAAAATTGCACCCTGGAAACAACGTCGTCCAAATTTAGGTCCAGGTAATAAAATGCCGCCGATTATGAACCCCCGGTATATCGCAGGCTAGCAGTAGATGGGAGCACAGAGAGTAGCTGGCGGGTGTTCATAATCAGAACGGAGTTACAAGGCGGAATGGAAGGCAAGCGTCATAGCGGTGAGGCGCAATTAAAATACACATGAATTAAAATTACGGCAAGTGTAAAATACTGTTTAAATGTACCAGGATAACTAATTTAGGCTGTGCATTGGTTGAAACATGATGGTGACTTGCGATATTTGATCGCGGTGCGAAATGTATGAGACGCCATTTTGTAACGGTACTTTTGCCAACGCACACAGCGGCTACATACATTACTTACATGCAAATAACACTAATAACGTGGCAATTAAATAGCTAAAAGCAAACAGCCTGGCATGATCAAATTACACTACCTATAAAACACTTTCACTACTTAAAACTAGGTAACGTTTCAACACTTACCCTTACGGGGTGCAAGACGATACGGAGGTCTCGGTGACGAGAATTAACGGAAAAACTATACGGCCACAATGCCGGAATTATTATATTATTTTAAACTTTTTCCAAAATGGGATTAAAATTTGCAAGCGCGTACGAGGACACAAAGCAGAGCTTGTGAACGCGGCTGCAGTGGTAGTGTGCGCCTCCCAGGGCGCTCGGGCGGAGAATGACCGGGAGCGCGACGCCGTGGAATGATACCGGTCGGGTAAAACTCTGACGCGAGAGTTGCAAAGCGCATAGAGTAACGAAGCGTCAGAGTGTTTGTTCGAAATACAATATTTTAATATTTGATTTATTATTTAATTCGTTCTTTTAGTTTACTGATTTGTTTTATTAATAGGATACCTAAGTTAATTATAGAATTATTTTTGTTAATAACTTTTATTTTATTTTTATTTAGTTTATTAAATGTTTATTTAATTTTAATAAACCGTTTAATTATAATTATGCATACATGTACGTGCAACGTTACAGTACCCCGCGCGCTACATAAGGATTTTATTATTCTTAATTAATAAAATCCGCTCTAAATTGTTATGTATTCGCATTATCCTTTTATACAACATCTCTCATACTTCACGCGATTATATCAGCGTCAACGAACATCAGTAGGGTAGTTGACGCATCCTGTCATTTGGCAAGGTGTTCCAGCATCGGTTAGACTGGAAGACCCATACGAATACCTAGAGCTAAAGATGTAAAAGTGTGACCAGGGTAAAACGAGCACCATGTATATATATAAATATAACGCTAGTGTATTCCTAAGTAACAAGCAGAACACATGCAACTTAATTAAGTGTACTTGTAGGTGTAACATGGAGATCTTGTGATATTGCAGTGATGGTTGCTAGCCCATCTCCCACAACACACTACTACCCTATCCCTTAGTCGACTTTTACGACACCCACAGGAAGAAACGGGGTGGTGCTATTCTAACCCGACACCACACGGGGAAGTACCACTTTAAAAAAAAGTGTATACATATATGACTAAGTATTGTGTCCTGTTAATTTCAAATCCTTGATGTGCCAGGTGCCAATATCTTTCCCAGACATGTCAGCCAGGATGTAAACTAGGGGTGACTTTTTACCGATGACGCGACATTTAATAAATTTTGGCGCAAGTTTTTTACTAAAGAACTTATCCTTATCACTTAAAACATATGCGCGTTTCATTACAGTGTCACCAATGTTAAATTCCATAGGCTTGCGCCGAAGGTTATAGTGGGTTGAGTTTTTAGCATGAGCATGCCACAATTTGGCCTTTACAGTGCGAAATGTATGAGACGCCATTTTGTAACGGTACTTTTGCGAACGCACACAGCGGCTACATACATTACTTACATGCAAATAACACTAATAACGTGGCAATTAAATAGCTAAAAGCAAACAGCCTGGCATGATCAAATTACACTACCTATAAAACACTTTCACTACTTAAAACTAGGTAACGTTTCAACACTTACCCTTACGGGGTGCAAGACGATACGGAGGTCTCGGTGACGAGAATTAACGGAAAAACTATACGGCCACAGTGCCGGAATTATTATATTATTTTAAACTTTTTCCAAAATGGGATTAAAATTTGCAAGCGCGTACGAGGACACAAAGCAGAGCTTGTGAACGCGGCTGCAGTGGTAGTGTGCGCCTCCCAGGGCGCTCGGGCGGAGAATGACCGGGAGCGCGACGCCGTGGAATGATACCGGTCGGGTAAAACTCTGACGCGAGAGTTGCAAAGCGCATAGAGTAACGAAGCGTCAGAGTGTTTGTTCGAAATACAATATTTTAATATTTGATTTATTATTTAATTCGTTCTTTTAGTTTACTGATTTGTTTTATTAATAGGATACCTAAGTTAATTATAGAATTATTTTTGTTAATAACTTTTATTTTATTTTTATTTAGTTTATTAAATGTTTATTTAATTTTAATAAACCGTTTAATTATAATTATGCATACATGTACGTGCAACGTTACAAATTTCACTTCTAAAGAGTCTCACTCATATAATATTTATATTACTGTGTGCATCAAACAAACACACCGTGTGTTTGTTTGATGCTCATAGTACCACCACCAATGTATGTGGCCACATTTGTGAATATTTCACAAATGTGGACCGCAACACATTCAAAAAGATCAATCAATTGATCAGAACCATAGTTATAATTTAGCTAGTATAGTAGTGAAACGGCCTGTATATAGTTAAGTAGCTTGCGCTGCCTAATAGAATCGGTTCGTCGAACTATCCCATGTGAGAATTGCAAATGCGTGCTTACCGCTTACCAATAAGGAAGGTATATTTATATGTGTATACATTTTTTTTGTAACTTTTAGTAAATTAATTAAATGTTTATGTAAAGTAATGCGTTCGTTGCGAATGTGAGTACCAATTAAAACCATTATTGGTTTAATGGTACAAATCAAGCAAATATGTAAGAATACTTTTGATAAATAAATATTTAAAAAAAAACTTCGTGCGAAGTCGCAAGCACATCGCTTCGCGGTCGGTAACTCTCGCACATTAAAGCGCTTTATCGCGATGAATCACGCTTGTGCGGCCACACTTCAGGCAGCCCACAGCATAGAACACATTTACTCTCCCGAGAGAAGAACGCCATCTCCAAACTCAAAAAATGGTACACTTACAGACATGTGTAACTTCTAGCGCCACAGTGGGCGCCCATATGAAACTTAAAATAAATTAGCATGTGGGTTAAAATAAAACTATAAATAGGTCTAGTTATGCAATTTTATTTTCTGGAAGGTAGATTGTTTCATAAACTACACATTATTATTGATGATTTATATTGTTTTTGCACATAACATTTTCACGCGTTTTATTGATATGTAATATAAATTATGTTACTGTCAGAGAGTTGTTCTCCACAGACTTTTAACGTAAATTTAAATTAGCAAAACTCTCGTGGTGAAAACTTAGTGCTCCATGCAGGGTGTGCTGTTTACCCAACGCTCGGGACGCAGAGCACTCCTCTCCCTGGACATCAACAAGTCGAGTGGGCCTGATGGTGTCCCTCTTATTGTGCTGAAGACGTGTTCTCCGGAGTTGGCACCGGTCTTAATGCGTCTTTTCCGGTACTCCTACCCCTAGGCGTAGTCCGAAATCATGGAAGACAGCCTTCATTGCTATGCAGACGACAGCACTGGTGATGCTTTATACGCCGGCCGTGCCAATATTTCTCGGAGAAATGTCGCCGAGTACCGGAACAAGCTTGTGTCTGAAGTCGATATACTATTATGTCGATATACTGTTCCAATCTCTGGGCCGGGGCTCTCCAGTGCCAGCTTCTTCCATTTGATCGCATCCGGCGCAGAGCAGTTCGAATCGTCGGCGATTTAGCTCTTTCCGATCACTGGCACTGCGAAGAGATGTTGCATCTCTTTAGGTATTTTATCGCATCTACCACAGGGAGCGCTCTGAGGGATTTTTCGGACTAATTCCAGCCGCACAGTTTCACCATCGCACATCGCGTCAAAACTCGCGATGTTCATTGTCGTCTGCTATGGGACTACTTTTATTCATCCCATGCAGGTTTCGGGCCTCGGGGAAACCCCCATTACCCGGGTGATCCTCACGGCTCATGACAATGAGCCGGTCTTGGGAGCCGTACCAGTACGGCATCGTTGGCTATCTTGGTTGGCGTATTGCGCGCCACCAGGTCGGTGCTACCGGAGGGTCGGCCGTCTCGAAGCCCCGCGGAGTCCCGAGGGTAGGAGTCGACGCAGGGCCAATCTTGCCGACAGGAGGGCGTTCCAGCTGCTCCGGACCTCCAGTGCTCCTTCCTGGCTCTAGCTGAAGGCCTGGTATTCCTAGGCAAAAAGTTGGCATGTCTCGCGCCACTGGGAAGGGAATCTGTCGAAGGGTCAGCAACCTCAAGGTCCCGCGGAGAGCACCTCGACGCGGAGCCGAAGTCACCAACAGGCGCGCGCACTTGGGCGCGCCGGGCCTTCGGAGTTCGCTTCCCAGTGTGTAGGTGATGCGCAGCGTTGGGTATTCTTCATCCCGGGTGGGGTCAGGGGCGTCCTCAAGGCTCGACGCAAGCCGAGTTGGCCCCACAGCGCGCGCACCCACTGCGAAGCGACGCGCTGTACTCCTCCCACCCGGGCGGGAGTCGACGACCGGCGGACGTGACCGCTCGTTGGCGCGGTCCGGACGAGACTAACTCGCGATACGCAGCTATTCATGGGCGGAGGTAATCACTTACCATCAGGTGAGCCGTAGGCTCGTTTGCCCCCTCTCCTATAAAAAAAATATTGATTGTTTAGTGCGATTGCCAAGTCATAAAATGTATATTTTATACTTAAATAATGTTTTTTTCCAATTCTAGGAAGTCCAAACAGTTTATGCTAGAGAACAGAAAGAATTTATTGAATGGGCAAAATCCCTTTGGACATCTGAACACTGCATAAGAGCTCTTCGACCCAAACCACCAGTGGAAACTGCATATGAAGCTGAGTTTGAAATAAGGGCCAAAGGACTGGAGTCCTACCCGAAAATTTATCAGATGGCTGCTCAAATACCATTGGAAACCAATAATGAGAAATTTAATATGGTCTTTGAGAAGGAGTTGATAAGTGTATGTTTTATACTATTTCTATATTTTAAAACAATCTAGGAATCGTTTTGTGCAAAGAAGTCCATTTTGGAGATAATCATTGCATTTTATTATACTTATATGATTTTTATTCAATATCTTTAATTAAATAATTAATTTTAAAATTATTGCTAAAGATTAGCCTTAAAGATGTTTAACAAAGATGAATTAGAAACATTTGTTTGTTTATTTAGCAGTGCATTGTTACCATTATTATTTTTTTTAAATCTCCAATTGTTCCAGCATACACAGTCGCAGCCCCTTATTACAAGTATGTAAGACTTTAACGGAATGGTCGCTGGCTAGGTTGTGTCCAGTGTCCAAGAGATGTTTCATTTTAATATAATATAAAAAAAATTTTTTTATCGGTAATTACAAGAACACTTAAAATTAAGTAAACATTACAGTCTATATACGTCCCACTGCTGGGCACAGGCTTCCTTTTGAGGCGTTTTGGGGTTAGGAAATGTCCGCCGCGGTGTTGCGCGTGTTGGTGAACTTCACATGTCTTCGAAATATTTTTTCACACTTCTCAGACATGCACATTTCCTCACGTGGTAAATCAGCGCTTAAAATTGCAATTATCAATTTCATACGTGCTGACGGGAATTGAACTCTGGTTGCTCGCGTACTGTGAAATTGACAGCAATCGCTTAGCCACTGAGCTACCACGGCTCACACAAAAACACTTAATGAAAGTTATTTATACTTTTACCACTGGCTTATAGAAATCCTCTGTCCTAAGAAAAATCAGCAAGAATTCCAGCGGGACTTTTGTTAAATATAAAATTACATTATAATATCATGTTGCACAGTTAAATGTGAAAATATTGCGATCTCATTCCCAGAGGTTATTATCAATCTTGTTTTCACAATGGTTTAATAATCCTTATTAAACAATTTTTGCTTAATAAAAATTTTAAACATTTTGATAAATATTTTCTATATGTTTTCTGCGACTTGGTCGCAAAATCTCGTACATTGCCCCATGAAGGAATTACTGACTTTGGAGTCGAGTAACTAGTATTACTAGCTTGTTTGTTCCTAGTATTTACAGAATCCACATTAATTTTAGAGATAATATAACTTACCTTTTTATTTGGCATAGTTGTTAAACATTCAATATTTTGATTATTGTCGACAGGTGGATATATCGATGCTACCTCAAATAAAAAATCCTGAACCGATAAGGAGTCGGTTATCCATAATATCACCGCTTACAGTACCGGAGCCTTGCACAAAGCATCCTTGCCGATTCGTGTTGCCAAGTAAGTGTTATTGTAATGAATTACCATATTGTTACTTGCGGGCTGAGTCAAAACGCCGATTAAGATGAGAAACAGATGTTTTCTACAGAAAAATTTAATATTATACGTTGCTGCGTGTGTGATTCATCACAATAAGTTTACCAAAATTGCTAAGCTTCCTCGGTTAGGTCCTTAATAATGCAGGTGTCGTAGTTCGATTGCTGGTAGCCGCTTCCCGAAGTAGAGTTCAGATTTTCATTTATATAGTTTTAGCACTTTCGTGATCCCGAAACAATTAATTCTCCCATCGCCGACACGCTTTTATACTCAATAAAAGGAATACAGAACTTTTTAGGTTATTCCTGATCGTTTCACCCTTTCAACCGGAAGGTACTAGAACACTCGCGGTTACATAATGTTACGTTCAAAGGAGAAAAGGCTCTAAACGCGTAAACTTAAGGTGAAGTCTTGATTGCAACAATAGTTGAGCGTTATCTATTTAATGCCTACACATTTTATTACTTGACAGAGGCTATTGATCCTTATTATCGGGAACATTCTCGTGCAACGTGATGCAATACGCACCTGGCTGTCGTAATAATGTAAAACAATTAATACCAGACTTGTACTAAATATCTGTAAATAAATCTATCGTTATATGTGGGTAGATTGCAATTGATTGTCAAAAACCGGATACTATAATGACAGAGCATGTTACTATTAAATGAAGTGAAAATTAAAATTAAAGGAAATGGAATCTATTAAAAAATTTATATAGAGGAAAATTAAATAAGGGATGCACAGCAGCGTCTTATTGTTAATACGTCAAAATTATAAACAATTGCAATGTTCAACATGCCTGCCAATCATAGCAACTATAACAAATGTCCTTTATATGAAGCAATCTATGGAGGAGGATATCACAAAATAACCCTTTATAAGGTTATTTTGCAATATATAACCAAATTTGGGGAGAATGTTTTGAATAAGTAATATAGGAGAATGGTAAAGGAAAATTGTAGAAAAAGAAATCTCAAACAATCTGTCCTTTTTATGTTATAAATTCCAAATGCGTGGTAAATCATTATTTTAACTAATTGTGATTTACAAATATCTAACGCCTTCTATTTTATTACGCACTCACACATTCGTAAGGGTCGGTTGGTCGGTCGGCAAAAACGTTGTGAATTGAATCGCACACAAAGGAGCGTGCGTACTCGTAGTTGTTGCGTATAGATCACATTTAATTTGGGATAACTTCAAATAATAGTAGAAGACTTATTTACTCGTTATATCATTATTTATGTATTTGAGTAAACTATTTAAAAAATAATAATAAAAGATTTGGATACTCTTTGAAAAATAACCCCTGTATTCGGCAGTGGATTTTGATATGCTTTAATTAATGAAAAATACTGTTTGCTTGTTTGTCCCTTTTATTGTGTAACTTTATTTATATTGGAGATCTGATTGGATAACTTTATTTTTATTTTTTTATCCAGACGAGACTGCAACTACAATTCTGCCTCTAACGGAAGTCCACAGAGAGCTGGCACAGTATGCATTGGAGAATGGAGCCCATTTCGTAGCCAGCGAGAAGTCACTAAAGTGCCTCATTGAAGTCGACAGGCATTGGACTATCTGTTTGTCTGTTTGTGAAGCATTTACACCAGGTGAGTTCTTGTTTATATAATTCACATTTTATTTTTAAATGTTATATTTATTACGGGCGAGTGAATTAAAATTAACAATTAGGATGATAAGTGGATGTAGTTAGTTAGTTTGCGACGGGCTGTTTTCCGCAACTCCACGTCTATGCGCGTATTTTGCGTGTGGGTAGGAATAATGTGATTATTCGAGCCATGAGATCTCCCCCGAAGAAGCTCAACAGTCCCTTGATGTTGCATGCAACTTCGGGGAGTGATCCCGGCGTGCCGAGATGTTTAGCCCTGTACGTAGCGACCTCCGAACATTTCAGTAGCACGTGGGCCGCCGTTTCTTCCTCCCCCATACATGCCCTGCACAGGGGACTATCTGTAACACCTATAGTAAATAAATGTTTGTTAAAGGTGCCATGTCCTGTGATAGCACTAGTTACTATCCTGATCTGCGGCTTGTTCAGTCTCATTAGAACTTTGGTTAAGCGACTGTTTATTACAGGTAGGGCCTCCCTAGCTTGTCTACAGTCTACTAGATTTTTCCAAAGCTGAGCGTGTTGATTAGTGAAGTGTCTACGTACCATTGAACGAACGTTACCAAAGGGGATTGGTATGATTGTATCCGGCCCTATAGTGGCCAGAGCCGATCCTCTTCTGGCCAGTTCGTCCGCTGCATTGTTGCCTCTGGATCCACTGTGTCCCTTTATCCATTGCAGAGTCACATTGTTGTTTTTACATACCTCATTTAATCGTTGATGGCATTCATATATTAGTCCCGAGTTCACCTCATTGCAACTCAGAGCTTGTAGTACCGCCCTACTGTCGGTCAGTATTCTGATGGGGAAGTCATTAACCTTCCTAGCATCTATTGCTATGGCCGCTTGAATGATACCCATACATTCCGCCTGAAAGACCGTGTTATAGGTACCCAGCGGTGTGCATATGTGAATATTGAGGTCTTCAGAGAAAGCTCCAGAACCTACACCTTCATTTGTTTTAGAACCATCGGTGAAAATTCTAAGCTCTTTTGGGCTTAATCCTTCCGGCTGGCTGTTTTCATTTAATTGTATCTTGTATTTCTTATCGAAAACAAATTGTTTAGGAATCCTATCGTATTTGGCTTGTAGGATAGGAATTTCTGAGTAAATTCTATCAATTATGCCTGTATGAGGGACACTATTCTTACTCCAAAGATTTAGGGTCTTGAGTCTGATGGCAGCTAAAGTCGCTTCTTGTTCTATATGTAGATGAAGCGGAGTTAGCTCCAGCATCGCTTCCAAGGCTGCTGTTGGCGTAGTTCTTATGCAGCCTGTGGCAGCCATACATGCCAGTCTCTGGTAGCGCTGAAGCTTCTTAATTGTGGTGGCTTCATTGGTCTTGGTCCACCATACCAGAGCGCCGTATGCGATCATGGGCCGGATTACAGTTATGTAAAGCCACAGTATGATATTTGGCGTCAGTCCCCATCTTTTGTTGTCATGTTTCTGCATTGCCAGAAAGTTATACTAGCTTTGTTGATTTTGTTTTCTATGTGTTTATTCCAGTTAAGTTTGCTGTCCAAGGTAAGACCTAAATATTTTACCTCAGAGGATAGCTGGAGTTTTGTGCTGAAAAGACTTGGAAGATGATAGTTATTCAGCATTCGTTTTTGTGTGAACATTACTAAAACCGTTTTATTTGGGTTGACGGTTAAGTCGTATTCCCTGCACCATCTCTCCACTATACGGAGAGCCGCTTGGGTCAGGTCGCACACTATGCTAGCTGTCTTTCCCGAGACCAGTATAGTCAGGTCATCACCATAACCTACTGTATAAAAGTGATTAGTATTTAATTTGCTGATGAGTTCATTAATGACCATATTCCACAGGAGAGGTGAGAGGACCCCACCCTGCGGGCAACCTTTCTTAATTAGGATTGGTTGAGATTCACCAGCAATCTTTATTATTCGTGTACTGAGCATACAAACTATCCAGTCGATCAGTGCCGATTCAACTTTATGTCTACTGAGTGCACCTTTTATGCTGGAGAAGTTTGTTCTGTCAAACGCACCTTCTATATCTATGAAGGAACCTAGACATATTTCTTTGTTTTGGATGGCCCCTTCAATCTTTGTAATTACCTGATGAAGTGCCGATTCTGTTGATTTGCCAAGACTGTAGGCGTGTTGCTTGTCGTATAGTGGTAAGTTCATTAGCGCCGACCCCCTTAATTCCCTTTCACACATCCTCTCCATCGTTTTTAGGAGAAAGGATGTGAGGCTAATGGGCCTGTAGGATTTAGGGTCAGTGTAATCGCTCTTACCTGGTTTGGGTATAAATGTGATTTTCACTTCCCTCCATCCCCTAGGAACATATTTTAGAGCCAGACAGGCTCTCATTATGGCAACAAGTCTGACTATTAGGGCTTTACCCTAATAGTCAGACTTGTTGTACACACTGTAGGAGTGCCGGGAATATGCCGTCAGGTCCTGCCGCCTTATAGGGGAGGAAACTGTGAATGGCCCAATGGATTTTGTCCATCGTTACCACTTTCTGTGCTAAATTCCAGTCTTCTACTGTTGGTGTCAGTATGTCGTCATGCCGGTTTGCCTCCTGGGTTAAGCAGCAACCTGGGAAGTGCGTTTTAATTAGGATGCGTTGGGCTTCATCCGGCGATGTTGAGTAGCTACCGTCGGGTTTCTTTAGAGACATGGATCCCGACGTGTTCTGTTTAGCTAGAATATTCCTTATCCTATTTGCTTGTTTGCAGGTTTCTATGTTGCCACAGAATTTACGCCACCCAGTCGAGCGTCGATACCTGATACATTTTTTGTATTCAGACTTAGCTTTCTTATATAGTAGCCAGTCTTCATCCATTGAGGTATTCATGGCCCTGTTTAGGGCTTTTCTTACCTTCTTACGTTTCCTATCGAGTTCTACACCCCACCACTGTTGCTTTACCTCGGCATGCCTTGGTGGAGTGATTTCTGGACATGATTCATGGTAGCTATCTATCATGGCCTTAGTAACAGCTGCTACCTGTTCTTCTAGGAGCGACTGATCTGCTATAGTATTTATCCCCTCAGAACCCGCGAGCGAAGACGTCAACTTATTTAGGTATTTTGTTTTATCCGTCTTGCGGGGATTTCTCCATGGTGGTGTAGAGGGGATATCGACCTGTAGTGCGAAGCAGATCCATCTATGGTCTAAGCATGAGGCCTCTTTCGACACATGCCATCCCGTAATTAGTTTGGCTGCTCCTTCTGTTGCAAGTGTGAGGTCGATTATAGTGCGACAGCGTTTGTTTATGAAAGTAGGTTCTGAACCTATGTTTAAAATGGTTAGGTTAGTACTAAATAAATATTCAACTAAAACCTTACCTCGTTCATTAGGTTTTTCCATTCCCCAAAGGGGATGATGTGCGTTGGAGTCCGTCCCGATCACAACCTCTAGTCCGGTCCTCTCGCAGAAGTTCACCAGCCTGCTGAGGTCATGAGGGGGGAGGAGTGTCTTCCTCCGGCATGTAGACGGAGGCGACGACTAAACTTCTCTCCTGTGTGTATTGTATTGCCACGGCATACATGTCTCTAGAACAGAAATCTGTTAGTGGTTGTGCACAGATATCTTTAGTAGTGTAGATACACGCTCTAGGCTTGTCGTGTTCAGAGCTGTAGAATAGCTTACCTTTTAGGTTGTTTAGGCCTTTAATTTTACCAGCCCCAACCCACGGCTCCTGGATTAAGGCTATGGCAGTCTTTTGAACCTCCAACCACTTGCGTAATTGAGCCGACGCAGTTTCGCTGTGGTGGAGGTTGGCCTGCACTAGGCTAGTTTTGGACGAAGGGCACGCCATCATTGATCGCGTCCTCCCCGTCCCCGCCCAAAAATAGGCCTGCCAGAAGATCTCGGGTCTCTTCGTCAGCCACCGAGTCGGAAGTGGTCGGCAAAATGCAGTCCTCTTCGTCACTCAGTGAGCTGCCGCTGAGCCCGGTCTCCACTGGGGGCTTTGGCTCAGTTGTGCAGGCCGTTTCTTCACTGGACTTGGCCTCCAGTGATTCCGCTGTACCGGTGACCGAGGCTCCGGTATCCATAACTTCCGGGCTGTTTACTACCTCTTTGCTCGGTGGAGTATCAAAGAATTTACCTCCACGACCCTGGAATTTTACGTATACCGCCCCGCATACGCATGCGAGACGGCGTCCGGCCTTCATCAGGGTCGGGATGTGATCCTCCGGCACCGAAACAACGAGGAACCACCCGTCCGTCTGCTTATCAGCCTTGAGTAACAGCCAGTCCCTGATGTTAACCCAGCGGTTCTGGTACGCCAGCACGCGACCAATGTCACGTGAGTCTTTCCAGGCTCCTTGGGCATCAGGGATTAGGATACCACATTTGACTCTTTGTGGTATCTCTGACTGTTTTTTATAGTCAGCAAGGTGTTGGATTTAAGATCGAGGGTAGCAATATTCCCCTTCAACCAGTCCAGAGCCTTCTGATCGTCGCACCACAGTTTCAGGACACCCTCCGTATATACGGGTTTGCCCCTAAAAACTGGGCCCGACGCATCAGGGTCCTGGCTACTCCACGCCTCGCTGATTATCTTCCTCTGTATTGCTACGAGGATGTCGTCTGCTACTTCCTTCGTAATGTGACCTGAACGCGCACACGTTAAGGCCACACCCAAATCTGCTCTAGCAGCGGAAGCGTAGCTCGTTTTTGCAGCCTTTGGTTGCTGTCCGAGTCGCACTTTTTTGTGTTCCCCTCTAGGCGAGGTGGACTCTTCCAGCATCCTTTTGGCTGCTCTTTCCTTCTTCCCAGGACGCTTGGCCGCTCGCTGCTTCCTGGCGGATATCCTAGAACTGGTTCCCGCGGCCGCGACTTCCACTTGGTCTGGATTTTTATCCTTCCCAGCTTCAGTGCGGCTACTGGTTCCAGCTCCAAGCACCCCAGTCGCAGTGGCTTGCCCAGCCTCCTTGGTTTTAGTTTCGGAAGCAGCCAGTGCGGCTCGTTCTCTTCGGCCTTTTTCCCGCTGCTTCT